TACATATGTCTTAGTAGTACATTGTATATTTGGCAGCTAACAGGACATCTTTGCTTAAGTTGGTATAACATGCACAACCAACAAAGTAACACTTGAATTTAATATTTCAGATTTTGAGACTCTCAAAAGGAACAAAACAAATAATGGCACCGCATACCTGATAGAACAGAACAGTTTTTCCACTCCCACTAAGGCCGGTGAGTACAATGGTATTAGATTTTGTGCATTTGAAAAAGCGGACTGTGAGACAAAGAATGAGAAAAAGATTAGTAAATATAAGTAAAAGTTCACACTCCAACAAGGAAACCGAATATATCAAGAATAAGCGCCTCATAACAAAAATCATAGAATGCAAAATCATGTAAAGATCCAGACATCTATTGAAGCCATTGCAACCTAATAGGATTATACTGACATCTTTGCACACCGGGAATTCATAAAATTAAAAAACACGGTAAGGCATTCCAATATAACATCTTGTAGGTTTATATTCAGTCTAAATATGTTTTAATCAAGATGATAATCTTGATGCCTATGCTTTCAGCAACTGACCAAATCTAACAAGCATTCATTTAGTTAAACCAATTATTGACTTCAAAAACCCAACAATTTCACACATAAAATATAAAAAAAAAAAACAAAACCATATTTTTTTCAAGAAAAATGTTTCTAGTTACGTATCCTATCAGAAAAGAATGATATTTCAAAATTCTAAAATGCATATACCCAAGAAAAAAATCTGAAAACTAAGGGAATACTACAAACTAATTCTTCGAAAACCAAGAATAAACAGCACTTTTATTCCAAGATTAATAGTTATAAAGCAATGCCGGCTTACAGGACAAAAGCAAGAGGGTAGAAATGAGCAAGACAGCAACAGCAGCATAAAGTTGAGTCGGGGGTATTTGGTTCAAATACTCAATTGCTTGATGCAACCACTGCTCCAATTGATTCTTCCACGGCTCCAATTGACTCTTCAACTGCTCTAATTGATCCTTCCACTGTTCCATCGCTTCCATCCCCTGAATTTCAAGTTCTATGGGATATCGAAACCTAGGACACGCAAAAACCAGATTCAAAAATCAGTTCTTTCTTGAATCCTGAATTAAGAGATTCTAAAATAACAAGAAAGTTTGTTCTGTTCAAGGGTCCACCCTGGCACATTATTCTTTTCTTTCTAAGTCTTTTAAACCAAGAGAGACTCAATGTTTAACATTCTAAAGTTTGAATTCTGAGTGTTCGTTTCTCTTGTATTCTGCTAGAAATTGAAAGCAAAAGAAAAAAGGTAGAGACTTTGATAATCAGAATTTTTTATTCAGTAGAACAAGAACTAGCAAAATTATGATTCAAAACATTTTCAAGAGTTAAGAGAAAGAACCCAAATCTCAAAAATGAGCAAATTTTAATTTAACCTCATGAAAGATCCCAACTTTGACTATCAACTCACGATTTCAATCAAATAGAATTCGGATGTCTGGGTAGTAAATTACGCACCTTTAACGTATCTCTCTTCTCGAAAATAAAAGAGAAATGATTTCTTTAATTTTTTTTGCTGTTAGAAGAGCCAAGAACCGGAGAGTGAGGGAGATGTGAGAATTGAGAAAGAAAACAAGAAAAGTTATAAAAGAAGGGTTTTTTTATTAATTTAAATTACATCCAACGGTTCAGAATCAAAGTACTAAATCTAACGGTAAAGAATTACTGAACTTAAAAAAGCGTGTTTATAAAACTTGACTGATGAAGAAAAGCAGACTAATTGGCAAACATCAAAGAACTCGACCGGAAAGCTGAAAACTTTCTCTTCCCGATCAGGTATAATTTTCTTCAATTTATTCTCTTGTTTGATGGTTAAGAACCCACATATTCTGAAATTTGAAATTTGAAATTTGAGAATTTATATGAATCAAACCTAAATCTGTTTGCTTCTTTTCTTTTATGAATTCGATTTGAATATAATTGAAAAGGGATCCTTTTCATTCCTTTATCAGCTTCAGCTTGTTGTTTACTAGTGGCTGTTTAGTCCGTTTTTAGTTAACTAACAAGCTTTTGAACATTAGTATATTGCTGGGTCTTTGCCCTTGGTTTATCATCTATGATATCTATGCAATGTGTTGGATAGCTTTTCTCTCTAAATGTACAATGAATGTTCTATAATCCCATATTATGTTTTTCGTCTCTCTATTTCTTGGGTACTAATGCCTCCAAATATGCCATCAAACGTCGTCCTATCATTGAATGCCATCGATAAGGAAGATTTGAGTCCCATGCTTTGATAATTTTGCAACTAATCCTTGATTTCTCAACCTGATTTCACTGTTGTTGTTCACTCTTTTTCTTGTTTCTTTGATTTTTGTTTATTGACGTTAGCTATTTCTTGTTAGTTAAGGATGTTTTTGACAATTTGAACCTGGTTGGGACCCTTTAATGTTATTACTTGTTTGTTTATGTGCTGCTGCTAATATTTTCTCTCCCCATTCCCTTTTGTCCCCTTCTTTTTCCCCTGTTAGTTACAGATATGCTTTTTATGTGACATCTATTCGAAAAGGAGCATGAGAGATGCAGAAATTGGGTGATTTCAAGCTTCCCCACTTCTTCAACTACCCTCCATACTTCACGTATTCTACTTTTCTCTTTGTCTTTTCATTTTTTCCTTTATTCACTTTCTAGCAAAACTATGAACAATCTATTATTACTTCTGGTTACTCTTTTTAAGCAATGAAGAATATAATTTGAGGTCTTCGTGGAAAAGATTGATCCTCATCTGTGAAGATGAGTTGGATGCTTTATTACAAATATTCATTAAGTTGCATCTGTATATACTTTATATTTCTTCCAATTTTTCAACTCTTTTTATTTCAATCTTCCCTTTAGAACTTCATGGAAAATATTGTTTCCCATCTTTTAAACTGGTTTATTATAAATTGCATCTGTATATGCTTAATATTTCTTCCATTTGGACACCTTCCTAGAAGATGATGTTGAAGTGGAGCTCAAAAGATTCATTATTATCATCATCCTTGTTATTGTGATATTTTCAATGTGATATTCATTATCCATTGTGAGTATTTATTTTTTAATAATTGGGATTGATTTTCACATATTTCTGCAGTTTGCAGCCGGTGAGAGAGACTCGTGAGAAACAGGTACAACTTTGGAAGGACCTTATTCTGGATTACTGCAGAACTCAGAAGATATTTGTCCTTGGGCTTGAGGAAGAATTTCCTCTGTTCTCAAATCCTGTGATTGAACGTAAGACCTGTTTCTCTAAGTTCTGGTTAAGCCATCTCAGTGATTAGATTTCTGAAGATGCATTTGTCTTACAACCAGTATTTTGTTTCAAGTCTTGTTATTCCTCTTGCTTTTTTGGTCTGGTGCAGGTACTCTCAGTCATGAAGCTAGGGAGGCATTCCTCTCAGCCTTGGTTTCAGAAGGTCTGGCTCTACTGGTTGACTAATACAAGATTATGCTACAACATCCTTAAATCCATTGGAAGCTCTTAAACTTTAATTCTGATGTAACAGGACGTGCAGAATGGTTGGATAAAGGACATAGGAAATGCCGTATCCTTTGGCACCGAATTCAAGATTGGGCTGACAGTATTTTAAAGTTTGTGAGTTAATCTTGGTTTTTTTTTTTTTTTTTGCTATTCTAGTAATGAACTGTTAATAAGTAGATGGCATGTTCCAAACATTATTTTGTAATATGTTTGCATATGTTATTAGGTGAAAGATAATGGCTTTGAGGACAGTGTTATGACTGTTGAGGAAATACGTTCAGGGATTGAATCTCGAGGAACAGGTAAATGTACATTTCATTTGATGCTTAGATGAAGCATATTAATAAATGATTTTGGAAAATTGTGCTGCCTGTATAATACTGCGAATGTTATCAGAGCTGATTCTTTTTTCTTCTTTTTATTTATTTTCCTTTCCTTAGTTTTAGGAGAGGGTCTGACTTGTGGTGGTGTGTGGAGAGGGAAAGCATCTATCAGCTGCATGTGCCCTGGAAATATATGTCGTTCAAATTGCATGCTGGATGTGTTGATAAATGTTTCTAATGCAAGGAGAGTGGATATATTATAGATCCACAAGTCCCACCTAGGGCATAAATAAGTTTTTGCTGACCTTTTTTTATCTAAATAACCCCCAACCAAAAACAAAAGAAGCATGTATCATAATCCCTATGCATCCATTCACACATCTTTCACATGTAAACTCACTTACTTGGGGAAATTTATGTCCTAAACATTACATGCTACTAATCACAATCTCTCCTTTTTTTACCACAGAGCTTCATGGGATAGATCGCACGATTCTAATCCGAGCTTTGAAAATACTAGAACAAAAGGGGAAGCTTGCGATTTTTAAGGGAACTTCAGCTGATGATGAAGGTGTGAAATTCTCTGTATAATGTTTTAAACCAGGCATTCAAATACAGCCTATTGAGCGTGGCAGACAAGGCAGCCTATTGATCATCAGTACTTTAATCAAAACCCAGCATTGTGTTTGCAAGTGAAACTCAGAAATGAAAAACAGAAAGAAGTGAAGTTTGTTGAACGCTAAACCTGATGGAATATTTATTTAACATTTAGTGTGGAGCAATTTTCCTTTTTTTTTTTTTTTTGTTAGGAAGATGGAGGAATTGTTGTTCAATGAATAATTGACTTGATTTTAGCCTACAAGCTTCCCGTCACTTTGATCAAATCTTTGCTTTTTTCAGGGAAAACCAATTAATAGCAAAAAAAAAAAAGGGATGGATTCCTGCAAATAGAGATGCTTAAAGCCTAAATTTGATTAAAAAACTTGTTAGCGAGGGTTTGCACTTGTTTGTCAAATTTTTAACAAAGTAAAATAGTAAAAATAGACCCAAACTTGACCGATCAAACTTTCAAAAGAAAAAGCTATTCACCCAGAGGCCAAAAGCCCAGGTAACTTAATCTGTGGCCGACGTTCGAGTGGCCGAGAAACGTTAGGAAAAGACGAGACAAATCAAACACAGCGCAGCCCTAAAAACAGGGCAAGCCGAAACCAGTATTAGGATATCTAATTCGCATCCCCAAACTAGCCCCAACCGTCCCCCTTCTGCACTGTACCACTTCCTCCCTTACTCTCTCAAAATTTGCCAAAAACCCTACAACCCTCCCTCTAAAATCTCTCTTCTTTACTTTTGTTTTATTTTATTTACTCTCTATCTATTTCCTGTTCCATCTGCAACTAAATTGGACTAGACCCAGAAAGGAATGAAGCCCTGTTTCTGCTAGTCCTGTCGACGGTACTCCTTTTCTACTCTCTCTCTCTCTGTCTTATCTAAAAGACCGTTGATGAGAAAAAATTGGTTTTTGTCGGAGTAAACATCATTGTGAAGCTTGCTTATGATTATACTTAGCTTCAATGTATTGATATGTATATCCTTTCCTGAGCTCTTTGTTCCAAAAAAATTTTAATTTGATGTTTTTAATTTGATGTGAAGTTGAATATGGTTAGTTCATTATCATTAGTCTAGCATTGGAGATTTTAGGCCAAGACTCGATTTTTATTTCAACTTTTGCGAATTTCGTTGTTAAGTTAGGACTAGTCTTATTCCTAGGTAAAATTTTGTTGGTTAGCTGTTGCTGGTACTTTTCAGCCGCATCTGATTCAGTCTGCTATAGTTCGAGAAAGTAATCGATTGGTTCATGTTTGGAGTCTGCGCTGTATGCTCGAACAATATGTCTTGATGTTGAATAGGTTGCTCTCTCTTCAGTGAATTTATGGTTTTTGTTTTGTCTGGGAATAGTTTAAGGGAAAAGCAAAGAATGTGAATCTTCAAATCTGAGTAATTATACTATCATTTGATGCATTTAGCTTCGTTCAGTATATATTTTCATGTATCCTTGCCATGTCCAAAATAAGAAAAATTAGATTTCAATCTATTTTAATATCCTATTCTTGCCATATTAGTATTTGATAATTGATTTAGATGTGATACTGATATGGGAGGGGGCGAGCTGTTAAAGTTTTGGTGCTTCATAGTTTGCAGCTCTAACTCTTGCATACCTTAAGTTGAAGTTTTAAGACCTATTGAACAGAAGATGTGGACATAATTTGGCTTTAATGGTTGACTATGAGATTTCCAATAATAAGAATTTTCATTTGCTGACTAGATGATTAACTATGATCCTGTTTCTTCAAGCATGTCTCTTTTGTGAAGATAAAAGTTATTTATGGGAAAAAAGAATTTATAAAATGGTTATGGTGGCATGTTTTGTAAATTTTATCATTGTTATTTTTTGATCATGTTAATCTCTATGCTTAATTTTGCAGGTATGCTACTGAATGTTGGCTTGGTAGTAAATTTTAAAGGTTGAAATAGTCTGTAGATGGATATAGTTGAATCCATACTTGATATTCCAGTGCAAGATCCACCAGAGGAGGAGTTCTCTTCTGCTGATTTGACTTGGACAAAGTTCGGCACAGCTGAGCACCATGATGATGTAGCACTCATTCCTTATGCTCGAGTGGATGAATTTATAATTGGAGAATGCTCCAATGTGGAATGCCCAACACGATTCCATATTGAACGGGGACGGAAACGATCAAAGGGCAGTTTAAAGGAGTATAAAAGCGATGAATATTTGGAATATAGACTGTAAGTTTGACCCATGCTTACCAATGTTTCCCATTTTTTCTCATTTATTTCCCTACTCTCTGAGCATCAGAATCTTTCTTTTGATTGATTCTATGAAACAAAACCCTGATATATTTCTTTAAGTGTAGATGATATGAAATTTCTTTTTGTCATAAATATGAGTTCTACCTGAGGAGAAACATTTGTTCTTATTATTTTCCCTTTTATATGTGAAGATATTGGTGTTCCTTCGGTCCTGAAAATTATGGGGAAGGTGGAAGTATATTACCTAGTCGAAAATATCGTCTAAACACCCGAAACAGGGCTGCTAGACCTCAATCCATGCGAGGATGTACATGCCATTTTGTAGTGAAACGTCTTTATGCTCGTCCGTCACTTGCACTTATTATATACAATGAGAGACGCCATATAAACAAATCTGGTTTTGTCTGCCATGGGCCCCTTGACAAAGATGCCATTGGCCCTGGTGCCAAGAAAATTCCATATATTTCCAATGAGATTCAACAACAAACAATGTCTATGATCTATCTGGGCATACCTGAAGAAAATGTGCTAGAGAAACACATTGAGTGCATTCAACGATACTGTGGTTCAGATGCAAGAGTTAGTACCCTTGCTTCCCAATATGTCCGCAAACTTGGGATGATCATTAAGAGATCTACCCATGAGTTAGATCTAGATGATCAAGCTAGCATCCGGATGTGGGTTGAACGCAATAAGAAATCTATATTTTTCTATCAGGACACATCTGAGACAGATCCTTTCATTCTTGGGATTCAGACAGAATGGCAGTTGCAACAGATGGTTCGTTTTGGCCATCGCAGTCTTATTGCTGCTGATTCAACATTTGGTATTAAAAGACTCAAGGTAAAAAACTGATCAAATTGTATTTGCTCAGAGCTTAAAGAAAGCTATTTCATTTGGTATTACATGATGATGTTTCTGAATGCAGTACCCCTTATGCACCCTTCTTGTCTTTGATTCAAGACAACATGCATTGCCTGTTGCATGGGTCATTACCCGCAGCGTTGCAAAGTCAGATGTAGCTAAATGGATGAAAGCTTTGCTTGATCGAGCTCGAAGCATTGAGCCTGGATGGAAGATCAATGGTTTTTTGATTGATGATGCAGCAATGGAGATTGATCCCATAAGGCAGGGTATTTTTGCTTTAAAGTTTGGTTTGTATTGAATTTATTACTTTCTTACCCTTGATTTTGGCTATTTTATCAGGGATACTTTTTATTGTCCTATCCTATTTTCTCTTTGGCGTGTTCGTAGATCTTGGTTGAGGAATGTTGTTAAGAAATGTTCCAACATTGAAGTTCAGCGGGAAATTTTTAAGCGTCTAGGTGAAATAGTTTACAGCATTTGGGGTGGCATCAATACTTCAGTTGCCTTGGAAGAATTAAATCAGGATTTTGTTGATCAAACTGCCTTCATGGAGTATTTCAAATCCTCCTGGGTGCCCAAGATTGGTTAGATCTCTCTCGCTATTACACATGCAATGCCACGAAGGTTTCCATGTCTAATACTGCTGTTTTTTTTTTTTTTTTGTGTGACAGAAATGTGGCTTTCAACAATGAAAACTATTCCACTTGCAAGCCAGGAAGCATCTGGTGCCATAGAAGCCTACCATGTGAAGCTGAAAACAAAATTGTTTGATGATTCACATCTTGGTGCACTTCAAAGAGTTGACTGGTTAGTGCACAAGCTGACAACTGAGTTGCATTCAACATATTGGCTTGATCGGTATGCAGATGAAAGTGATTCTTTTCAAAATGTCAAGGAGGAATATATTGCATCTACATCTTGGCACCGAGCGCTGCAAATTCCTGATTCTTTTGTTACCTTAGGTGATAAGGCCAACCTATTTGCAAAGGTAGCAAGCCAGAAAGACAGCAGCATAACACATTTAGTTTGGAATCCTGGATCAGACTTTGCTTTCTGCGACTGTGCATGGTCAATGCAAGGTAATTTTTGCAAGCATGTCATCAAGGTCAATATGATGTGTGAAAATCATGAAGGCTACAAACCTTCTATGTCTTTTCAGTCATTCAGAGAGATATTGATGGATCTTTTGAAGAAACCAATGGATGACTCCATTGCATTAGATGAGTCAGTTGCCTGGACCCACCAGATGCTGGATCAAATCAAACAGCTTGTAGAACTGAATAGTTCAAATGATATTGGCATTGTGGTAAAAAATATGCCATTGAAATGGGTTTCTAAGAAAGGCAGAACATTTGTTGGTATACCTGCTTCCCTTCCAGCTCTTCCATCTAGTTCCAAGAGCATCACAAAGAATCTGCAGAAGAAGAATCGAAAGCGGAAAAGATTATCAAGATTAAGATGATCATCTAAGTTGTTTAATTAGGTCAGCATTTAGCAAATTCAAGACCCTTTGGACTGGAACCTCTGTTTTGAAAATAATGTTTGTTCCCATGCTGGATATCATCATCCTGACTCCATCGCTTGAATTATTTGATGGGTAACACAAGCTATGTTAAAATAAAATGAGTGCACTTTGCAACCTCCAAAGATGGATTTGAAGGACAATATGCCTATCTAGCTGCAGTTGCCAGTGTAAAGACAAAAGTGAACTCCAAGATGTGTCCACATATTCATGTTCATTCCAACATTCATTTCGGGAGAAATTTGAAGGCCAACATCTTGAAAAAGAAGGTATCTATCTATGTTATTGAGATTTGCTTCCGAATTTGGAAACCCAAAGTGTTTTCCCCTAGTTAATCTTGTCATTTCTTGAGCTATATATATTATTTTGTATATTGTCTTTCCTTTTTCAGGAGGCCCTTCAAGTACATTTTTGTTCTGGGAATAGAGGCTATGGCATAAGGCATCTTGCCAATGGACAATTACAAAATCATGTATAGACTGTCGAACATTGAATGTGAGCTGCATAGAAAGATTATATTATAAGATAATTATTTAATGGAAGATATGATTACACAATAATTTTTCTTGCAAGCCATTGATTGCTTCCCAACTTGTATAATGAAGATTAAGTATCATTCATCTCATTTACATATTTGTTGACAGTTATGCATGTGCAAGCACCTGATGCATACATTCAACGTATTAATCTTAGTTGAAATATAGAGAAATGTCGAGTCTTTAAGTCTAAAATGCATGGAAATATGACATTTGGTTTTAGAAATTTAGAATCGAAATGTTGCTCAAAATTCAGATGTTATGTGTCATGACCTCAAAAGGGAAATCAAGAATTTCAAATAGAATGAAGAGTATAATTAAACATTAATAATTATTCACAACATTTTAAACCTGAGACAATGAGACCCTTGAACGATATTACAAATTGATATGAACTGTGACACTATGATTATCAAAAATCCTACTTCAAAATTACAATAAGCAGAGCCTCTATCAGCTTGCTAGCTTGAAATGGTAACATTTTCTAGAATCAGCACAAACGGCATACAGCTCAAGCTAAGGTCTTGCTTAAACGATAAAAAGGGTAGCTGAACTACATCCATATAATCACTGCAACTGCAGCCCTATGGTTTAAGGTCTAGTTTTTCTATTGGAGGAATTTGAGATAATATAATAAAATGGAAATATGTAGCCTTCGTGTACTTATTCTCATTATAAATATGAAGACTTTTACTTTGATAAAGAGAATTTTGACATTGCTTCAATTTCTCAATGCAACTTTTTATTCCTTCCCCTTTAGCAAAGACTAATCCACACTGAGAACCATATAAACTGGCAACTGCAAGGTCCACAACAATTGTTGTTTGTCCCAATATTCCTTGAACATAGAAGGTAGCAATAGCATCGATATTGAAGCTAAAACATTCAAATTTAACAAGTATTAAGATTCGACCACATTTATCTCCGAACTGTGCAGCAGCCGATCAATAAAATCATCAAGGAAGCTGAAGAAGGTTAAATGGCCGCAATCTATCATTTCCAATATTTGGATGTAAAACAGAAACATTTGCATCAAGGACACTTGAAGTAGCTCTCTTCAACACAACAGAAAGCTCATATAGGTCTTTGCAGCCAAGTGTCACTAAGCAGCAAATTTAATGGGATTGGGCTCACCCAGTGCATCCCTCTTTTCTGCCAATTAGGGTGTGCGGTAACATTACAGGTATTTGAGCATACCACGACCCTCAACACTAAGTTTAGTAGCCTGCAACTGCTTCTTTTTTGGTGCTTTCAACTGATGCAACTTCTTAGTCATCTGCCATGAGAAAGTTGACATTTTATTTCAGAAAATATAGTGAAGAGGGAATGTAAAGCATTTGGAACGCTTGTTGCCAGATTGTTCAGGCATCAGCATAAAGTAAATTTAAGGAGTGCTACACTCTTGATATCCTAACAGCTAAAGGAACAATATAGGTGAACATCCCCTTTTGTATCATTAATCAAGTAACCTTTTCCAAACAATAAAACCAACACAAAATTAATATTAAGGAGAGTAAAAAAGAAACCTTTTGGCGACGCTGATCTTGTACAACTTGTTTCGCACGTGCTCTAATTTCATCTGGATCAATCTTAGACTGGGGACGCACAACAAAATCCATTGGCGTTGCTTCTGGCCTTGAAGCATGCAGCCTTGAAGAAGATTCTGTCCTTGAAGCATGTTGACCTGCTGATGATCGACCAGACTTATGGTCCCTGTAATTTTTATAACCAACAATAAGGGTCAGAGCATATAGAATCAGATACTGATGTGAACCAAATGGATACCAGGATAAATATAACTAAGGAAGTAATTACATCTTACCGAGAAATATCCAAATCAAAATCACCATCTCTAGATTCCATTGCCGCAGCTCTATTTGCAGGTCTATAAAAGAATTTGAAAAAATTAAACAGAAACGCGAATGGAAAATGTATGCACATGACAAAATTGGTTAACATACAAGATGGCATATTTCGCATAAAACTGATTACAAAGGGTACCTTTTCACAGAAGGCCTTCGTAAGGGAACCCTATCATCATCAATATTTCTCATGTCCTCAAACCTTGTGCTCTTATTAAAGATTGGTCTACTCTGCATTATGTTCAAAATTATATAAAAGAATTAATACCCTGGACAGAAAAGAATTTCATGAATATACATAAAAGAACTTGACAAACAAAATTTTGATGAAAACGAAGCTATTACTGAAATCACAACCACTAAAAAGTCAGATGAGAACTATACTCCTATAGGCAACATGCTAATGCATAAAAAATAAAATAAAACATAAAGCCCACAGGGCATGACAATTGCCAATATAGATCTAAAGAAGACGAGAGATCAAAGGGGGAATCCTAGCATATAAACACCAGGAGCTTAAACCGACACATACCCATTTATCAACCAAATCCTTAGCAAGTTTTCTGTTGGAAGTGGTTTCCTCATCAGATTTTGATAAAAACATAATCACCTGCCCAAAAATTTTGAAAAAAAAAAGAGGTCTAAAACCAATCCAAGATACTTTGAACATAAAGCTGAATGTGATTGTTTCTCTACGGTGATTACTTACCTTTCCAAGACCACTCCTCTTTAGCTGCTCCCTTCTATCATGCTGCTCTAGATCAATTGGAAACTGCATGAAGAAAGCAACATTTCACTTTTTCATAAAAGGGAATGTATGGCAATGACCATTACTAAACAGGGCAAAACGGAAAGAAGGCCACTCTATACATCAGTCAATATCCTCAAAATTGCTGCACGGATATTTATATTTGGTAAGCTTCCATCAGGAAGGGGTTCGAGCCAATTCTTCAACAAGGTTAAAACTCCATGATCTAAGAATTCTGGTTGAAGCTGCTTCCTACACAAAGAGCAATTTAAAAGAAAATAAGAATGATAATTGCTAGGCCAATACATCCAAGCCACATTAACTTGGCAAGCAGCTTACTTTGAGAGAACCTCAGTAAGAAGTGGCAACTTCTTGAGTTTATTAATCGCAGGCTTCCCTTGTCTATTAAGCTCTGCATCTTCTTCAGCAGTTACCTCAAGCTCAGCCATAACATTCTCAACCAGCAATGCAATTTCTGCAGGGCTTTTCTCATTCTTCTTTCTTTTTTTACCCATCTTGAATAACTCCTTAATCTCTGGATCCTCATCGTCTTCCTCTGCCTAAAAGATCATAAAAATGAACCAGAAAGCTAAAAGAAAAAACCTCTTCAAAAAATATTTTAAGCAACCAATGAATTGTATTTATAAGTACATAATTCTATAAATATCATAGCTAGCCAACATGAAGACAAGCATACATGATAGCCATAAAAAGATGATTGACAACCTGAGGGGCATCACCAGGCGACCTTGCTTCATTGTCACTCCCATATCTGTCTGCAGGGTCAACACCACTGTCATCTATGAAGTCATCATCATCCATAGTCCTAACACCCTCTTGATCATTCTATCCAGTGCAGAGAAAATGGTCAAAGAACAAACTTGGTTAGCTTTGACCTCATTTTATTTTATTCCAGAGCAGAAATTTGATTACATGATTACAAACAAACTATCTTAGTAAGCAACTTAATATACTTAAATAGAAACATATAGGGGAGCAACCGAATCATCACTGGCTAGAAAAAATTAGAAACAGGTTAAAGTAGCTTTGTAATTTATCCATGGAAAGAACTATAAAAATTCATGTTCTACTAGTAGCAATGCTGATGATGAGCCTAAAGCCAATATTTTGACAGCGATTCTTAATCATGTGAAGATATTACTTCAAGCTTGTTCATTTCCATACACACATAATAAATAGAGATCCTGATGTCCTTTAAGATGAACATATAAAATAAAAAGCCAAACCACCGAAGCCACGATTCAATCAAACAACCATGCGATGATTCAATTAGCATTAAAAAAATTACCTCAGGATTAACCCACTCCCACATCTCATTCACTTCCTCTGACTTCCCCAACTTCGTAACAGTTCCTTTTTCACCCCCACCCCCATACTTTTTCTCCTTGAGCCTCTTCTCCTTCTTCTTCCTCTTCCTGGCATCCGACTCCGATCCTTCCCTCCCAAAATTGGCATCTTCATCTTCATCTAACAACTCAGGGGCATCCATACTCTCTTTTCCCATAGAGCCCCCTTTCTTGACCAGTCTTTTTCTCGGCTTCCCGACCTTATCAGTATCGTAAACCGGCGTCTGCGATCGTTCTCGTCGGCCCCAATCTTCCATGTCATCCTCCACGTCATCAAGAAGGTCTCGCCGCGGCTCCGGCGAACCGGGGTCCGATTGAATGTCTTCATAGTCCATAATCGGCTCTCCTTCCTCATCGCGATAACTACAAGAGACCCAAAAGAAAGAATCACCCTAAAAACCCTAGTTTTTTCCACACACCAAAAAACTGTCGATCAAAATTTAAACGCTAAATTCAAGAGAAACAAGAGTAGGCTTACGAATCCATGGCGATGGCGATCAATCACGGGCGCAGAATTGAGTCTTTCTTTCTCTATGATTTTCTGTTTCGGGGGGAAGAAATGCAGAAACAGAGACGTAGTTATAAACTGAGCGGGGGACGAAATTCCTGTTTCACGTTTCACCTGCCTAGTCGGTCCAATCGGAGATCCGGCCCAAATGGGGACGGGTTTTTTTTCTCTTGACTCTTTTATCCGCTGTGACCCGAAAATGATCACGATTACCCAATTATATATGGGCTTGATAGTCATTTTCTTGCTTCTTTATATTTTTAATAATTTTTTATTCAAAGAAAAGAAATAGTCAATCACTAAATCGAACACTATCAGATATCGAAATGTATTTTTTAATAACTTAAAAATTTATTATTTGTTTTTTAAGTGTATTATCCATAATTTATAATATACATATATAATTACATATTTATCAAATTTGAGGAATCATGTCAAAATTAAAATTGACGGATTTGAGATTAATAGCTTCTTTTTTTTTTGGTTTTCAATTGCATAATTAAAATAATGATGTTTAATCAAAAGTATTCTAATAATTCAATTACTTTCATTTATACTTTAAAAAATTTATTTCCGTCAATTAGAAAAGATTTTGACACAAAAAGAAACGAAAAAGAGAGGAAAAATAAGTGGAAGGAGCTACAAACTTATGATTGGTTAAAAGTATGAGAAGATGAAAATTAAAAAACAAAATTAATTTAAAAATAAATTCAAATCCTCATTTATAAAAAAAATATTATTACATTCATATCCTTCATCTATATTATTTATTATGAATTTATTCAATATTTTAGTAATTTTTTCTATCATTTAACTCGTGACACCAAACATAGTAATGTACTATTTTTGTATATATATTACTAATTTTAAAATTATAACATTCTTGGATTCTTTGTACTTCAAATCTATTATTACAATATGTACAAAAACAAGTTTCGTAGGTCAAAACTACTCTAACCCAAGCACCGGGTGAAAACAAAAAAATCTATTATGGGATTAAACTTTGATGGAAATTGATATTTGTCACACGCAATGGAGGTGATTAGAGCAAGAACAATGAAGAACTCAACAAGGTTATCATTGAACATGTTGCTCCATGAGATTATAGCCTGTAGGCTTTACATGGCTGCCATAAGATTGCAGTCAACTTACAGATCTTTGACAATGTTGAAGAGGTAATGAATTGAAACGTGAAAAGCAAACTTACAAATCCACCATGAAACTGAAATTATCAATGCAAATCATGTTACATCATTGAAGGACAGGTACAGTCTATGCAGCCCGAACGCTAAACCAGTTAAAAGTCCAGCACATTGGAAAAAATACCGGAAATGCAAGTCAGGGGAACTGATGAATGAAAGGAGCTCAAGAAGGCCTGTCCTCTGGTTTCTTTAAGCCTACATGCTGGAATTTTTGGAAGCCATTCATAGGAGATGGACCAGACACCGTCTTGTTGGCTATTGCCTCCAAGAGAAACCTGTCAAGTAGTTTAAGAGGCAGGAAGGGAAGATCAAGTACACCCTGCGCCTAAAAGAACATCATAAATGCACAAATTTCTTTACAAGTGCAGGAAGCAAAAGTTTCCATCCGCACTCTACAGTAACTGAAAATTATGAAACAGTTGGTAAGAGAAAACTACTTAATTAATAAAAACCAGGATGGCTGCTCGCAATCTGCCACATCAAGAATTTAAGAGGCGAGAAATATTTGCAGCACCTATCAGAATAATGTGTGTTATACCCTGTGGAAACTATAAAGCAACTAAAATTCATTACTTGCCTCCTCGGGGTACTTAAACTTACATCAAAACAGATCCTCCTAAATAATTAGGCAAAAGCTATACAGTAATCAATTAAGGTTTCTGAAATATCAACTTTCCAAGCTAATAGCAAGAAGATCGGGAGGAAGTGAAGCAGGATCAAGTTCCCAGCAGTCTTTCAAAAGATCAGGGACATCATCGCTACAAAGCTTTCGAGCAGGAATCTGATGCGAAAACAACCGAATATCATCTTTTTCAAGCCATCTAATAGCTTGACACCCAATCTCCTGTCTTTTAAATATTGTCCTGAATCCATCAACTTTCTCAAGATATGCCATGCTCAATCCATGAATCTCACTGTAGTTAGTTAAAAACACAACTATGTCATAGCACTGTTTATCTCTAGCTGAAAAGTTTCTTCCTGCTGCACCTGATTTAGCTTCATTATAAAGTGCCCAGACTGAGCCCTTCTTTGGATAAATCCTATAAAGTTCCTTTGCCGCCCTTTCACATTCTACCATGTGTGAAAAGATATTCACAGAGTTTATGGAACTCTTCCTGGCGGCCTTAAATCTCCCACAAGATACATGAAATCCCTTTTTCTCCCAACTAATCAATCTGTCATCCCCGTTATTCTGAAAGTCCAACCAACTCATCTTCAATTCAAAAGGATTTACTGTAAATACTTCCTCAATCAAACCATAATGCCTAGGCATTCCATCATCATCATCATACATAGCCCACACTTGCCCTCTTTTAAAATTCCTCTCCAATCTATCTTTATCAAAATCATAGAAATCTGAATCCTCCACAGCCATAATCTCCATGTCCCCACTCTTTGAACCACGGCGCTTCTCAATGTCCAACTTCACTTTCTTTCTTGAAGTCCCTTGCTTCGTGAGCTCTGAATTTTGATTCTTTTTCCCACCATCTTGAGTCTTAGCTTCCAAATCTACCCTTATTTTCTTAGTTGCACGTGTCGTAATCCCCAAACTTCCACTCGTCTTTGAAGGTCCTTGACTCTCAATCCCAAAATCCTTACGCTTCTCTGATGCCTTCTGTTTCTCAATCTTTGAAACTCTATTTTTAGGAGGCTCATGTCTCTCTCTTTCCTTCCCCTTTTCACCTGCCTTGTTCACTTTCTCTTTTAGATTCAATTTTTCCCTTCCTTGATTCGCCTTTCGCTTCATTTCCAACTTCATTTCTGCAAGTGTCATTGCCTCCTCTGCAACTTTTACCCTCTTTGACCTTGATCTCTCCTCCTCCCCATCATCCACCTGCCCGGCTACAGACCTTGCCAATACCTCCCCAACAGTACTCATCCTCCTCCTCAAACCCCCACTCCTCAATCTCCCCACACCCCACCCATCATCATCACCACCACTCTCTTTCTCCATCAAATTCTCTTCACTCACTTTCCTCCTTAACTCCACACTCCTAATTGTCTCACCACTACCCTTTTCCCCCTCCAAACCAACACTTTTAGCACTACTCATTTTCTCCTTCGAAACCATCTTCCGCTTCGACCTCTCACTTACACTTACTGCGGCCACCACCTCCTCCTCCTCTGTACTTTCACCATCACCACCTTCTCCGTCGACCTCCACAGCCAAAAAGCTCTTCTTACAACTTGGGCAGACCAAATTATGCCCCAAATACTTCCTTTCAAACTTATGCAACAACCTGCACCGCGAACACGCAGTCCAAAACGTCTCACCTACTACACCATTCTCTTCCAACCCATCAACCCTTTCCTCCTGAATCCTAATCCTAAGCTTCATATCATATTCTTTCCTCCTTATCTTATCAGAAAATATCCTAAACCCTTCACCCACGAGCTTAAACGCTTCTTCACATCCTAAATATGGGTTCTTGTCAGGGTGCAAAATCAATGCTAGTTTCCTATATTGTTTCTTGATTGAATTTATGTGGGAGAAGGGTTCTACCTGGAGGATACTATACCAGTCTGGAGAAGCGTCGGCTTGGGAGGCCGGCCGGAGAATTTTAAAAGCAGTGAGCATTGAAGAGATGCCTTCTAGGTTTGGAAAAAGACCGTGGGCTTTCTTGGCATGTTTTAAAGCTGATTTCAGGTTTGAATTCTTGTACTTGGTTTCTGCCAGTGCTTTCAGGCGCTGTGCTTCTTGCTCTGCATCTGGGTCGGGCGCCATTTCTGAGCTAACCAAATTGAGAGAGAACGACCAGCTGTCGGGAGAGAAACCGAGATATGATTTTCTTAGGTTTCGGGTGCTTTCACCACTCACCAAGGCTTTCGGCTTTGTGTTGGTTTGGTCGGTTTGAGTGTTCTAATAAGAAAATACCCCTTTTTTCAAAAGAAAAATAATAATAAAAAAGGACTTAAAAATCAAATTGAAGTAGGTTAATTCGGATTAATTTTTTCAATCGAGTTATCAATCGATTAATATAGAAGCTATTAACTTGTTTTTAAGTTTGAGATTGATTTTAATTTAATTTAATGTGATATTTTATTGAATTCGGATTAATTTTTTTGATTTTCGTATTAATCAATTCAGAGGAAATTTATTAACTTGTTTTTAAATTTGAAATTAATTATTACTTTGTTTTTAAGCTTGAGATTTTGATTCAATTTAATATGATATTTATTGAATTCGGTTAATTTGGATTAATTTGTTTTGATTTTGGTATTAATTGATTAAGAAGGAATGTATTAACTTGTTTTTAAATTTGGGATTGATTTTGATTTAATTTAGTATGATATTTTAGAGGAAATTATACTAAATAACTCTTATGACAAAGGATATTTTATAAATAAAGATCAAAATAAATTTAATTATTTTTAATTATATTTAATTATAATTTGATAAAAATATTTTTAAAACTATTTTAAATAAAGTAAATTATTCATCACAATTTATACTCAGTACTTTCGATTTTTCTCTCACCATCCATCTTTCTAATTTTATTAATTTCTCACTTCAACATCTTTTTATTTTGCTTCTATTTCTCTATTCCATCTTTTTAAGACATCAAGTTATAGTCTTGATGTCCTTGGATGAGTGGTCATTTGACAGATTTGATTTTTAAGTAATTTAAATTAAATTAAAACTGTAAAAATGATTACATATGTTTGAAATAACTTTTAACTGATTAATTTGGGACCTATGTCTCAATAAATTTAAAATTTTAAAATTTATAAATTTAAGATTTCAAAAAGATTTTTTTTTTTTAGTCAAAATATGTATTTTATATAAAAAAAATTGGGTTTTGATTTATGAAAACATGTGAAAAACACTTTAATCGGTGTCAAATTATCAAAAAAAATGAAAAGAGTTGAGAAAATTTGAAGTTTTGGTTCATAAGTAATAATAACATTTTAAACATTAAATTGTAATACAATTTTTTAAAATATAACGTATAACAAAAAAAAAATCGATATGATGTGTAACAATAATATTTTTTTCAACATGATATATAACATATTTTCATGTCGCGTAACAATAATATTTTTTTTAACATAGTGTGTAACAATTTTTTTTAACTATAACATTCAATATGTTTTTATACATAGCGTGTAACAATAATATTTTTTCAATATGATGTGTAACATCACGTGCATGGTGTGTAACATTATTAAAGATATTTTTGTTCATCTTAACTAAAAATAGTTAAAATTATAAAAAATTATTTTTAAAAATATTTTATCTTTAAAGGTTATTTATAAAATATATTGATATTTTATTGAATTTGATTAATTTTTATGATTTTGATATTAGTTGATTAAGAGGGAACTATTAATTTGTTTTTAAACTTAACATTGTTTTTGATTTAATATAATATGATGTTTTACTGAATTCAAATTGATTTTTTCATCTAGGTATTAATTGATTAAGAGGGAACCTATTTGTTTTGTTTTTAAGCTGGAGATCGATTTTGGTTCAATTTAATACAATACTTTATTGAATTCAGTTAATTCAAATTGTTTTTTTTTTAATTTTGGTATTAATTGATTAAGAAGGACTCTATTAGTTTGTTTTTAAGCTCGATATTGATTTGCTTCGATTTAATATAATACTGTATTGAATTTGGTTAATTTGAATTAATTTTTTCAATTTTAGTAGTAATCAATTAAGAAGAATAATTTATTCAATTATTTTGATTGAATTTTTGTATTAAAAAAATTAACAATCCAACTATTGAAAAATCGATGATTAAATATATTTTTTGAATATGTATTATACATATTAATATTACAAATATTTTTACAATATATCTAAAAAATACTCTCATCCAAATCAAAAATAACGGATCAAACCAACCAAAATAAGTTTAATTTTGGTTGTTTTCAATTTTTATTATAATTCAATCATTTTCATTTTTTTATAAAATTTAATTAATTTTTAAAAATTTAAAATTGAACAAATGAAAAACCGAGTCGATGAATTATTTATCTTTCTAATTCACTCACTTAATTGTCCCAGGAAAATGAGTAAACAAGTGAAATCCACCCAAATCAATGTTTTAGGGTTTATTAATTTTTATTTTGAAGATATAATTAGACTATTTTCCATACTTTGAAAGTAGCTTTGGTCTTATAATTTTTGACAATTTGACTTCATTAAATCTGGTTAAAGTGGTAAGAAAGTAATGATTTCAAAGGGTTTTCAGAGTTGAAGGTGCTTAAGCCTTTTCCCATGATTAGAAAAATGAGATTAGGAGAGTGAAAATGAAAGCAAAATGTGTAAAGACTAAAATACCATAATGATTGATGGATGAAAATGGATGAAAAATATCAATAAAAAAATAATATTAGTTTATACTCCTCCTGTCTTTTTTTTTCATTTTTATAAGATGCCCCAAAGTTACGTATTTTTCAAACACTCAATATTATTATTTCTTATGTTATAAATTTATTTTTCATGTTATTTATATTATATTTTTTAAAATTTTAATTTTTAATTTTCGTAAGAAAAAAAACAATTCAACAACACCAAATTCTATTGAAAACGGTGACCGACGGAAAGGACAAAACGGGGATTTCGCCAGGTCACTAAAAAATAGAAAGGAGAAATGGACTAACGTACGACGAGTCATAGAATCGACTCCGTGAACCCTCCCCCTTTCCTCCCCAAAAATACAATTAACAAACCCTAAAATCAAACATCTGATCTCTTACAATTTCCTATCTGGGAAAAAAATATAAAAGAAAAAAAAAAGGAGAAAGGGAGTGAGAGAGGGAGAAACCCGAGAGCTAATGCTAAAATTTTATTCTCTACCAATCGTGCCCTAACCTTTTCCCCCAATTGACATCTTTGCCCTTCTTCCCAAACCATCAAATTGAAAAACATCTCACTCAATTTCAAGCTCGGAAGCCCCTGAAATCTTGCTTCTGTTTAGTGGATCAGACTTGGGTTTCGTCTGAATTTGGTTTGTTTTTTGAGCGGTAATTCGAAATTTTTAAATTTATTTACATTTTTTTGTTTATTGATTTTGTGAATTAGTCAACAAGCACCATTTGCATGCCTTCAAATTTATTAAGTATTTTTTGTATTTTAATTGTTTGTTTTTCTTTCTCTGGATGCATGTTACCTCTTTTTATCTAATGTTCTTCCTTTGGTTACTGAGAAAAGAAAAAAGAGAGGAAATTGGAATTTTATTTTATTTTTTAAGCTTTTTGATTGTTTGTGATTTGAATGGGGAATTTTTTTGATTGGGGCTAATGCAACCAGTGTATGTATTTTAAAGTTTTTTTTTTTAATTCTAAGCTATGGTTTCTTTTGTGTTGATATTCCTTATTTTTTGGCTGAAAACGGTATAGGGTTAGATAAATTGGATTGATTTGAAGGAATATAGTGGGGGGAAAGTGCATATTGTTGATGGAATTAATGTTTTATTATTGTAGGATGGTCTGAGGGGCTTCTTGAGGTCGGTTGGTGGATATAGAAGAATGGGTAGCAGTGAGATGGATAAAACTGCAAAAGAAAAGGAGCCAAAGACACCACCTGCTACTACTACACAGGTCTACTTTAGTGTTATTGTTTGAAAATTGTGTAATTTATGTTGTTCTTAAATTTGTTCTCACAAGGTTTTTGTCCTGTGCGTTTTATTACTTCTTTTGGTGTTCAGGAGCCGTCTTCCACCACTAACTCGGGTACAGTAAATGCAGACTGGTCAGGATTTCAGGTTCGTTAGATAAATATCTTTAGTTCCTGTATTTTGTATTCAGGTTTCATGTGGAAATTTGGACTATCATATGTGGATTATTGTTTGCAAACAGGCTTACTCTCCCATTCCACCACATGGGTTCTTGGCATCTAGTCCCCAAGCGCCCCCATATATGTGGGGTGTTCAGGTATTTATGGTTTTGCATTGGTATTATAGGATGGTACATTATTATGATCGTTAAATCTTTTTCTATTTAATTTGTTAGAGCTTCAAAATTTGGTGGCATAATCGACTACTAAGATTTAATGGTTTCATTAGGTGGTCAGTAAAGCTTTAATGTAATTCTTTCTTTGTTGCAGCATTTAGTGCCTCCTTATGGCACCCCACCACATCCTTATGTTGCAATGTATCCTCATGGTGGAATATACGCACATCCATCCATTCCCCCAGTATGTTCTTTTCCATTCTTCGTAGTCTTTGTTTCCAAATGTTACAATAGCTTGATATTTGGAGTTATCTTAATGACATGGTCTAATCTTGGACAGGGATCCTATCCTTTTAGTCCTTTTGCTATGCCTTCTCCAAATGGCATTGTCGAGGCTTCTGTGAGCACTTTATCTTACTTTGTCTTATAATTTGTTGTTTGCAAGTCATGTTTTTATGTCCATGCTTCCAAAGGACTGACTCTTGTGATTTTGTGTAGGGAAATACTTCTGGAACCATGGAAACAGATGGTAAACCCTCTGATGTGAAGGAAAAATTGCCAATTAAAAGATCAAAAGGGAGTTTGGGCAGTTTAAACATGATTACCGGAAAGAACAATAATCTTGGTAAGACATCAGGAGCTTCCGCGAATGGAGTTTATTCTAAAAGGTATGGCAGAAAAGAATGATATATGCAGTTATTATATAATTTTTGGGTGCTAGTTTGTGCTATTGTTAGTTACAAGGACTATTTGCCACATCATTTTGGGGGGGGGGGGGGGGGGGGTGCGGCAAGCTATGTCCTTTGACCCACATAATCTAGTCTTACAGAAATTTTAATGGAACTGAGTAATAGAGAAAAGAGCCTATTACACAAAGCAGTTGCAATTGGGTTTGATTGAGAAGTCTAGAGGACCCTTTGTTGAAGAAGCTCTTTCCTTTACCTCCATCCCTGAATAGACCTATGTTTGTCTCTTTATTTAAATTGTTAAAATGAAGTCTTGGTCAGCTTTGAAAAGTGTCTGTAAAAGTCATTTTTCTTCTGAACTTTTTCTATGATATGAGTTATGTTGTTCTGTTTGTTTTGTGGCTTGAAGAGCTCCTGCTTTAAGATGATTGAGTAGGCATATGTCTTCCATCCTTGCTTTAAGCGTATTAGTTGGTACTCAGAAGTCATATCTGGATTTTTAGAGGCATCAACTCATCTGAGCATACACTATTTGCTTGTGATTGCTATCAAAATAATATTTCTAGGTAATTTAGCTGACAATGGAGTAATTGTGCATGTTCAGTGCCGAGAGTGGAAGTGAAGGCACAAGTGAAGGCAGTGATGCAAACTCCCAGAGCGTGAGTGCAATGCTTTTGGCTTTTCCTTTTATTTATCTATTATTTTGAATTGTTTCTGTAGTTCATCTATATTAGAGGGTTTGAACACCCTGCCAATATGGCCGATTCCAGGATAGGGCTTGCAATCTAATGAATTTATGCCCCATCTCAACTATTATTTAACCCTACACTCTTGATATGAAAAGTAGGGGTTTTGAAGTTGCTGCAAATGTTGATACTTTCATTGACCAGACAAGGCTTAAATCCCTTTTTCATTTATTAAATAGCTTTGGGCTTAACTGTGTTGATTGCCTGGAAAGGCAATAATCTTCTACATAAGTCATTTTGGGTGAAACTGTAAGCTGTACTTTACATTGTATGTGTTCTTACTTTGCAAGTGAGCATTTCCCATGGACCTATGGTACAAAAAGTACTTTCTTAGAGATGTTACTGGTGTGGCCTTGGGACACCCTTGTTTCTAAAACTCAAAAGTAATGGATTTGCTCAGTTGCATGTTCTTTTTTTGCCATACATTATGTTGTTTCGATGTCATCTGTTAAATTTCTGTGGGTGTAAATTTCTGGGGCCACCTAACTCTGTATTTCATGATGTTTTTGATTAATGGAGCTTGCTCTAAGTGCTAAAAGATAGGTTAATGGAGCCACAAAGGCACAAACTTCTTTTCATTCTGTATATAGATGTCAACTTGGCAGGCAAGTTTTTTGCATTATAAACGATAGGTTTTCGGGTTCATGATCATGTTGTTTCTTTTCCAGTGTGTGACTGCCCATGTGTTGTTCATAGACTGAGCCAAAGGCTTCTTTGGGATGATGAGGATTATGGGTTGAGACACTAGAGTTCTTTTTTTCTCTCTCTGTGAAAGGCACAATTCTCTTGTAGCTTCTCAGTTATGTTGTTGGAGTTAGCCTGCCAACTTACTGGATTAATTTTCTCTTTAACCCTGTACATGGGAAACAAATTTTAATGGGCCTTCTGTAATAAAAAAAGATTTTGGGGAGTGGGCTATTGAAGAAAGGCTAAAGCTGTATTGGACTAATCATCTCTATTACAACTCTCTATGTGTTGCAGCTTCTTTTAAGACTCTTCCAAGGGGGACAACTTTATATGCTTCATTTTTTATTCAAATTCAGGCATTCAAGTATATTGCCCCTTTATTTTGTTCAGGTAAAGATTATGCTGTAATTTCCTTTTCTTCCTTATTTGTAGGATTCACAATTGAAGTCTGGAGGAAGGCAAGATTCTGGAGAAGGTTAGACAATGATAATGTCATAACATAATCTTTTTGCATAACTTTATTGCCAATTTCTGTGTGTTCTGAAATGCCTATAATGTCTTTGTTACAGGTGAAGCATCTCAAAACGGAAGTGCAGCGCATGGTCCTCAGAATGGAGGCCCTAATGCACCTCATACGATGGTGAATACAGCAATGGCCGTTGTACCTATATCAACTGCTGGGGCTCCCACTGCTGTTCCTGGTCCCACTACAAACTTACATATTGGGATGGACTACTGGGGGACCCCAGCTTCATCTGCTGTCCCTGCAATGCGTGGGAAGGTTCCTTCAACTGCAGTTGCGGGAGGAATAGTAACTCCTGCATCACGGGACAGTGTTCAGTCACAGCTTTGGTTGCAGGTTATCTCTCTCTCTCGAAGCAATATATTAAAATATGAGATCTTCTTGCAGCAAAAATCTTTGCTTTTGGCTGTAGTGCTACACCTTTGTCGGTGAAATCTTAAATTAAAATTAAATTCACTTGAAATTTGATCAATGTTTTTCTCCTCGAATCAAGTGTCATATGCTTTCCTTGCTGATGTTGTAAGAATGTGTTTCTTACATTGCTTTTTTTTATAATCGTTGCTTATTTTGTAACTGGCACTGTTTACGGATTTAGGATGAAAGGGAGCTTAAAAGACAGAGAAGGAAGCAATCAAACAGAGAGTCTGCTCGCAGATCCAGGTTGCGTAAACAGGTAATGAACTATCCTTCAGAAATTGTGTTATTCAGTATTTAAAGGACACATGAATTATTTGTTTGAATCAGGCGGAATGTGATGAGCTGGCTCAGCGTGCCGAAGCCTTAAAAGAAGAGAATGCCAATCTTAGGTCTGAAGTGAATCGTATCAAGTGCGAGTATGAGCAGCTTGTGGCAGAGAATACTTCTCTCAAGGTAATGTTCTACTCTTGGTTTCGCAAAATATTGAACCTGTTAGTATGTTTCTCCTTTTTGAACTGCAGTCTACCTCATCTGCACACCTGTTTGGATACAATTGCTTCCTAATATCTGTTACGTAATTGCAGGAGAGGCTAGGGGAAATTCCTGGGCATGAGGATCTGAAGTCTGGTAGGAATGACCAACATACAAATAATGATGGGCAAACAGAGCTTGTGCAGGGTAGTCACTAGAATTCACACACCCTGTTTCATGCCTCTTTCCGGGAGCATAACCTAACCAAATTTAGCTACAGAAAGTTTTTATTCTGCATAGCATGTTTAAATTTTATCAAAGCTGACCTTGATAGTTTTTAGGTTCCCTTTTATCTCTTATAATCCATCACCCATGATTTGGCTTTACCTTTACAAATCAAAGCCTTAGGATGTGGTTTGTAGACTGATATTATGTACCTTTCTCTGTTCAAAGAAGGGTAGTATGCACAGTTTTAACTTTTCTTGCTTGTTTAATGTTAAATATTGTTGATGAATGTGTAACTGAGGGAAGTAATGAACTCTGATTCATTTTAAGAGTCGGGTGTTGGCATTCTTGGCTCTACAGCATTTCATCCCCTCCAGTAAGTGAATATTTTGTGCCCTTTCTTTTACGGTCAATCTTTGCAACTAATGAGCAATGCTGTTTTTGCTTTGGATTCAACATTTTGACTTTATAACAGAAATGTTAGGATAAACATCAGCTTCCTTTATCTAACGCGAGCGATTGTTTTCATGAGAGTATTTACAATCACAAACTTGCTAAATTCCAAAAAACCAAAAAAGAAGGGTGGTTGTAACCAAATAAGTTTACACATGTCTATATCCTACAGCAACAGTTACTCCATGTCATACTGGAAAATTGATAAAACAACAGGCATTGCCAAAGATCCCAGGGCCATACTAAACAGAAGACAGTGTCACCAAACTGGTCAATCAATGGAAACCAGCAATGAATTTTGACAAGCACGAGGAACCCAGTGCTACTTTCCCTTGTCATAAGCAGCTATGTTTTGGGGTTCACATTCAGGACTGAATAGACGGACCAATAAAGCAGATGTTGCGCTCACAGACACAGCTCCACATGCTGCCCACCGTAGACTTCTTGGAACTGTAATCCTTGGACCTGCATCAAACATTGAACCCAAAATATCAGGAAGTTTTTTACCTCATGTTAGACCAGGAGGGAAGAAGAAAATGAGAAAAGGGAACGAAGGAGGTGGGAAGGTGATGAAAGGAGTAATAAATGGATTCAAAATGAAAAAAGTACTGAATTCTGAGGCGTAAGGAAAGAGTAGAAGAAACCATAATGCAATCTGCAGAGAACCCAAAATCCCAAAGCTCCCCCAACAGTGAAAATCCCAGCCGTCTGCCTCATTAATCTGGAACAAGGCTTTGCATCTGATCTCATTAACTCACCATCCGACCAGCCAAGGAGACGCCTCAACGCCATTCTATCAACTCCTTAGAAAGCACCTGAGGAATGAATTATCAATTGAAAAAAATTACTGCAAACAAAACCAAGCAAATCGTAATATGTTAAAGAGCCTTCGTCCAAATGAAAATCTAAGCAAAACCCAGATTGCAAAACATGAAAAGATTAAAACTTGGCGAGTATCAAGCAATAAACTTAGAAGTTAAAAATCAGAACTTGACAACTGCATTTATCAACTAAAATAACAAAGAAAAAAGGAAGGAATTGATTGAATTTGAAAAACAGGAAAAGATGTGACTTTACCCCAGTTTTCTCCGCATCGAAAACGGAGGCGGCGGCGGAGCTAAGACGATGACCGACGGAGTGGGAGAGCCCCCGGGGTTTACAGTTCACGGAGGCGAAACTTTTCCTTTGTTTCTGTTTTTTTTCTTTTTCTGAATCGTACAGTCTAACAAAGGCAATTTTGCCTACTTGCCTATCTTGGGCTTATTATTATCAAAGCCCATTAAAATTAATTATTTGGATTATTTTTTATGTATAAATTGCAAAATATGGGCCTGAAATTTTATTTTTTGAAATTATAAATTTCATTTGAAAGGGAGAATTTACTGAATGGAAAGAGAAGTCCACGAAGGAACTAGCTTTCAACAGCCACCTACTCCTTATATTTCACCATTATCAAAATACCTCTCTCCCTCCCTTCTTTTCTCTTCAACTTGAGGATTGTGGCTTTGGGTTGTTAAAAAGAAAAATTAACAAAAAGAAGAAGAAAAGTGAGAAATGCAGATAGCGGGAGTAACAAGTGAGGTGTTGGTGGCAGTCCCATCAGCTGGAACCCTCTCTTTCAGACACTTCCATTCCAACAACTTATTCCTTTCTTCTCCTTTCTTCAAAGTATGCCCCTTTTCGTTTTTTATTTTCATATTGATACTTGTGTTGCTCTTGCTTCAAATTATCCAAAGAAAACAATTAAAGATCATAGCTTTTTACTTATTTCTTTTGTTCGAGAACTCAGGGCAAAATTCTGAATTCTGGGTTTTCTTTCCTTGGAGCACAATAAGTCTCTCTCTCTCTCTCTCTAATAAAAAAACCCATTAATTCCCTGTTGGGCTATTGTCCAATTGGAAGGTTATTTGTAATTGTCTGGTTGTGTTTGTCCCTTGGAACTGTTATTCTGTGCGCATAGAGGAAAGAATTTATTCATTTTTTAAAGAAAGTAGAGGTATTAATTAGATAGTGGACACAAAATTGCTGATGAGTTTCCATGGTTTCTCTTTGTTTTCTCCTTTCTTAATAGTACGGTTACTTTAATAGTCGGAAATTCCAGCTTGTGGGTAGCTCTTAGAAAGCTGTTGGAGTTCTGTCTTGCCATTGGATGTAGTCCACTGGCAACTGCTTACTTTATGTTCTTAATTGCTACAATGATTATTTCATCCACTTGGATACTTAAAAATGGAAAAAGGGGCACTATGATGAAAGAGGGGAAGGTGAAATGCTAGAATATCACTTTGGTCTGCATTTCCCCTCTATGTTGACTTTGCAAATCTTAAAAGAAACAGATATGGAAAACTTAATAGCAGTTTGCTTATGTTAATTAATCAAGAACAGCTAGGTTAAGTAGTTCAAATAATCCTTGAATTGAGATGGCCTCTTGATCTCCATGCTTTTAGGAGGTGCTCTGTTTGGTGACTTGATGCCTTGGACCAAGATATGTTTCTTTGTCTGGCAGTCTGAAGTGGCTGACTATTATTTGGAAAGTATCTTAAAATACTATAATTTTGGTTTGAAACTCTATTTATTGTGAAATTCTGATTGGGAAATATTGAGTGCTTGTAAGCAATCTCATTAATACTATCGGCTCTTGTTCATGTAGATTTGAATTTGAGTTGAACTCCATGGTAGAGTCATACATCACATGTTTCAAAATACTTACTGCTTCAGCATGCATGTTTTAGATAAAGCCTCTGTTTATGTGGTCATCTCTGAAGGCTTGGAGCTGTAGTCCTACATATAGGATCTTTAGTCTTTGATACTTTCCCTCGTCTTCTTAGTTCTCACAGAATCTTTTCTTTTTTAGAGATGTTCTTCATTTTGCATTCCAAAGCTAGGAATGGCACCAGATAAGTACCGAGCCAGATACTTAACTATGAGAGCCTCTGGAGAGTCAGATGATAGCTTGTCACCAATTGCTCCTGTACAATTTGAATCTCCAGTTGGCCAGCTTTTGGCACAAATATTGAGAACTCATCCACATTTACTGCCTGCGGCCATTGATCAACAGCTGGAAAACCTTCAGAGTGATAAAGATGACCAGAAAAAGGAAACTACGCCATCTCAAGATCTCCTCTACAAGTGAGTTTCATCTCTTTGCTTGTTAGTTCCTTTTCTTGTGCAGTTGTTTCGGTTGAAAACTGTCACATATTTAACATTTGCACGTGCATGCCAAGTGCGAGTTAGACTAAAAGGTTTCTGGTTTTGTAAATTAACAAGATAATGGCATTTAGCAGAGAATTTCTTTTCTTATGCTAAGTTATTTCTTAAAGTTATAGGTGTTTGATTTAATTATCTTGGTTATTGCTTACTTTTTTGTTTGTTTGCCATTAGTCTATTAGAAAATTACTGATATAACTGAAACAATTGAATTGTAGGAGAATAGCTGAAGTTAAAGAAAAGGAGAGACAAAGAACATTGGAGGAAATAATATACTGCTTGATTGCACAGAAATTTGTTGACAATGAGATTTCAATGATTCCTAAGATAATGGCCACTTCAGATCCTACTGGACGAGTGGACTTTTGGCCAAACCAGGAACAGAAACTGGAATCCGTTCATTCTCCTGAAGCATTTGAAATGATACAAAGCCACTTATCCCTTGTACTTGGAGACCGAGTAGTGGGTCCTCTCAGTACCATTGTTGAAATTAGCAAGATCAAACTTGGAAAGCTTTATGCTGCTTCTGTAATGTATGGATATTTTCTTAGGAGAGTTGATCAACGGTTTCAACTTGAGAGAACAATGAAAACTCTTCCTGAGGATTTCAATAAAGACCAAGCAAGATTTGAGGATCCAAATCCGGGGAAGCAGCTGTGGGATCCAGATTCTTTGATTAGGGTCCCACCCGATGATGACAATAATGGTGATGGAGGAGGATACATGGATACCCTTGAAGGTAAATCATATCGACTGAGATCCTATGTTATGTATTTGGATTCTGAAACACTCCAGAGATATGCCACCATAAGATCCAAGGAAGCTATTTCTTTGATTGAAAAGCAGACTCAAGCACTATTTGGGAGGCCTGACATTCAGATTCTTGATGATGGTTCACTTGATACATCAAATGATGAAGTGGTTTCTATCACATTCGATGGGTTGACAATGCTAGTCCTTGAAGCGGTAGCATTTGGTTCATTCCTATGGGATGCAGAGAGCTATGTTGAATCAAAATATCATTTCCTTAAGAGCTAACTGGCATCTTTGCATTGGTTATCTAATGATCGATGCTGGTAAATTGAAATGGATGGTCAAAAGTTCTTATATCACACGCAGGTTTTGAGGGTATATTGCCTTGTAACATAGAAGAGGCTAAACACAAAGAGGCATCTCAAGTCGACAAAACCTCGTGCTAAATGTTGGGAAAAAGATCAAACCTCACATTGTTAATAACACATGGTATGTTGACTTTATTTGCAGAGCTATCTTGATGATTCTGAGAGTTTCAAGTCTTGTAATTTTATGCTCTGATGGTCCAAAGAGGGGAAATTCTTGAAGCTCAAACTTAAAGCTGGAGGTTTTGCTGTTGGAATCTCATAATTACACAATCCATGTAAAGTTTCCTTCTAATGCCTTATGATTTTCAATAAAAAAAAAAATCAGATAATATGGTTTGGCTTGAATCAGATAAGCTGAAGGAAAAGTGGCCTCCTTGGAACTCTTTTTTCAGCCAAAAAATGATGCCATGCCATTGGGAAAGTGGTTGTCAAACAAGCTTTTTTGGAGCTTTACTTGAAGGGCACTCTTGGTTAAAGAGCAGAGCTGTCCTTGACCTTGCATGAAAAAAGGTTCCATGTGTCCCAGTGTCTGCTATTGTGTTTTTTGCAAGTTGCCTTTGAACTGTAAGGATCTTTTCTAGCTATCTGTATCCTCTCTCCCTCTCCCTCCCCCTCCCCCTCTTCCATTTCCATAATGATCAAGACCAACCCTTTTTGCCCAACAACCTAAAATAAAGGTGAAACGCTTTTCCCCTTTTTCAAGTTGCTGTTATCCAAATTCCTAACAAATCCATGGGACAAAGAAAAGCTCGAGGTATGGGAATTAAAATCCTTTGGAATTGAAAGTACTGGAATCTCCTTTTACTACCCCAAGTTTGTTTCCATGGTTATTTCAACAACTACAGCGTGGCAGATACAACGCCGCCGTCAGTCTCGGACGTGGTCTCAGACCAGGGGGAAGACAATTTTTCCCATTCCCTACAACCCCCCTGAATCCCACACAAAATTACAAGACCGCAACTTTTGCTTCAGTATTTTTTATTCATGGAAAGCTATACCCACCAAATGCCAGTTGTTTTAACGAAACCTGTTCGATTAATTATTCAAAAGCAATCAAAATTCAACACCCAAATTCTTTTTTTTTTCGGCTTAAAAAAAGGGGGATTCCTTTGGGGGTTATTGGGTTGGTCAACTTCTTGGCTAATATAGGCAAGTTACTATCACTTTCATAATCCCTAACCCAAGAGCTTAGGCTTATTCATTAATTATGAAAATCATATCAAGCAAAATTGAGGGTCATTGCTTGATTTCTTTCCTATATTTTGCTAAAGGGAACTACACCTTTAAAATTTAATCAATTATGGATGTTTGATCACGGATTGGACCTTATGGAAATAATTAATTGAAAACAACTTTGGGTGAAGCTTTAGGTATATTAATTTATAAAGATGGATTGCAACATCTTGCCAAACTACATGTTTAGATGGATTGCAACATCATAAGAGAGAGATTGTAGTGGATGGAACACTAATTAATCATTAAAATATCAAAAAACTTTTACCTTTTTTATAAACTTATTGTTATTCCATTAAAGGATTATTAAAAAATAGGGATTTTTTCAATTTAAATAACAGTGAAAAAATGAAAAAAATATAATAACATAATTAATTATGATCCATTTTAATAAACATTACGATGTATGTAAAAGTTACTATCACGCAGAATTTTATCTTCGTTAGCATATCAGATAATTAGTCTCTTTAAAAAATTAAATCAATTAAGAGAAAATCTCTGACAACTTCAATTTACCAAATCCATTTTTAGTTTCCTCTAATTCATGCTTTTCCCTTCTCTGTTGTATTTATGTACAGCACAGTGCCAAACATTTTGCTGCAGCATATCACAGTTGTTTGTTTTTATATATATAAAAAACAAAGGGGGTTAGGCCAGCAGTCATGTAGCA